GATTTAGTGATAGCATTTCCTTCTATATCCACAATAACCAACTCCTTTTGAGTTAGGGTTCACACCGAGATCCGCCGTTCATGGAGTCCGGAATTTCCCTTGGCGTGATCCACCGCGTACCTCTTGTTGAACCGCAGAAACAAAAACCGTACAAACTATTTTCATTTTGTTTATTCCGGAGTGGATATAAGGGATGAGAAGCACATGAATGATCAATGGCTATTTCATCATCATAAGTAAAAGAGTAACAAGAAAATTAAGTGATATCCATCACGTAAAATTATCAAACCTACATAACAAACATTCTAAGATTTTGAAGAAATTCGATCAACTCAAACTGAACTAGCTAATCAAAACAATTATTTAACGAAATTGAATTTTGAAGCAACATGACGATTTTCAATAATGTATGTACAATCAAGTTTAATTATCACTATCTAGTATATACTGGACCTATAAATGATGCAAAGCAAACGCAACACTCACGATTAGGCCTAAATCAAATTGTGGTTCCACCGCCATTTACCGGTCATATATTTGGGCGCTTGTAACAATGAAGTGCATGGATGCTGCCCTTGTACCTCACACATACACTAAAAGAAGTATTTGTTAGAGCTTTAAATGACTGAATAAAGAAGATTCGCTACCTGTCGTTTACACTTTGAACCAAAATCGGCCGGATTCAATTTGGCGATCTCCATTAGTTCTTCTCTTTTTGCCACTAATTCTGTCTTCCCCAAAGTAGCCGCAATTCGTGATTCGATTTCACCACGAGTCATGCCTTCGAGATCGAAAAGAACTTCTCTACCATCTTCTAAAATCAAAAACAACAAGTAAACTACCGGAAAAATCTTTTGCAAATCATTTTGAAGATTACACTCACTCAAATACGCTCGTGCGAAAGGTGTGATGACCACGTCTATATGCTTCACGAGCTGCACTCGAGGATTTTTGTATTGCAGCTGTGCCCAGTGCCAAAATACAAAATCTCGAGCACCTTGCTGCTGCTCGTTAGGTATCCGATGGAATCCCATGGCAAAAACCTAGACTGTCGATTAAAAAAGCCATAAAAATGTGGAAGAGAAGAATTACAAAAATTTAGTAATACCTGCACATCGTCTCGAAACTTAATCTTTCCTTGTAGCAAGTAGTAGAAGGTCCGCCGAAGCGGCATCGTGCCATGCATGAA